ATTCCACAGCACTGTAGCTCTATGGTCAACAGCACTTGTTTTTTCAAGCACACTACTACTACTAGAGACGCAAATGTCTCGAATCCACCCATCCGTAACTTTTTTAAATAAAAAAACTATTAGTACTGTACAGTTCAGCCACGAGTAATTTAATTTTGCATTTATTCCCAGTTAGAAAAGCTCATACATCCCCACAGCAGTTTTGTTGGTTTTTTTTAAACAGATGCCGTCTTCCGGGCTTCACAATATTCAGTGGGAACATGTAAAGCGTTTAAGAGGGCTGCTTTGGACGTACTGTTAGCTACGTTTTCTGAACTTTGTTTCTCTTTTTTGTTTTGGGGGTGTTTTCGACTTACGGCTTTTAGTGCATCACTAGCTGCAGATAGGATGATATTTAACAGATTTGATTCTTTTTTTTTTATCGTGTTTATCTTGCATGTAGAGAGAATTACAAAAACGCCTATTTAGCAATCATTCATGGCCATTTGAGCTGATTGGTTATTGGACGGAAGCTAGAAGTATGTAGAATTTTCTATATTCATTTTTTTTATTTTCTTTCTGTTTTACATGTGTACCAGCACTGAGAAGCTAGAATGTATAATTATCGTAGGCTACAATAAGCACTACATTGTTGACTGTTTTAGCGCATACACAAGCAAACCCAGTAGAGTTTAAAAGAAATGAGAACTCCCCATGTTTCTTTTCTCTTTCAATCCATTGAACTCTTTGCTGTATATCACATGTTTACATTCTGTATCATCCATGTTATTATTTGGATCATAATGTCCATATGTAAATATTCAGAGCTAAACGTTTCTCACTTTTTCCTTTTTTTAATGATAACCCTGATTTTTTTTTTTTTTTAAGAAATCTAATTCTATTCTGTCACCGCATCAGGTTTTTCGATGCTTAACTTAACTTTTCTTTGTGAGCAATTAACTCATACTGTATGGTGCTGTACCAAAGCCTTATGTATAATATCTGTTTTAGTTTTTCTTTTATTTGCCACTGCTATCCAGTGACTCGTCTGAAATCATGTCTTGTTCACTATTCATGTTCAACTGCCATGAATTAATTATTTTTTTTCTGTATATTTTCTCTTTGAGTAACTAGAAACCTGAACGAACTAAAATAAAAAAAAGCAAACCCTGGCTTGTTACAAAAACAGGCCTGGATGTACAGCTGCAGTCGCCATCACAAGCCTTTATAGGGGGAAAAATGCACAGGCTCACTCCTGGTGGCTCATCATGACGTAGACATGGGCCTAGCACATGATCTATGCTCTATCTATGGCATGTCTATGAGAATATGAACGCAGTGTTGTATCCCTGTCACCATATCATTTCAAATGCTTAGTCCTATACAAGATTTTCCTCTCAAATTTTTGTATTTTGATATAATAAAAAAAATCAAAAGAGGCATAATTTTTGTTGTGTTTATTTGACTGTGCTCATCTTTTAGCATCAGAACTGGGACAATTTTTCTTATTTCACCAATACATTAAGGACCGTTTGAACCTAAGCTGGACATTTTGTTTGCCTTCACTTTTTTTTAATAAGGTGTGTGTGAGTTAGGTTAACGTTAGGTTGGAGTATGTACTGGTAATGGTTAGTGTTAGGTTTAGGGATATTGACAGGGTTAGGGCATATAGAAAGGGTTAAAAATGGTTCAAGATTAATGGAAGACAATGGGAGTCAACACATGGTCTTCACTGCATATTGCAAGATGAGAATGAGTGCATGTGTCCATTATGATGCTGCAGTTCAAATGCTGGACACAGGGGGGTGAGTGTTGACCAGAAACTGGATAATGATGTGTCATAATCAGGTCAAGTTTTCTACTCTTTTCTTTCCTTTTAAGACAAAATAGAAGTGCAAAAGTACTATATTCATTTTTCCAAAGGAAAAACAAGCACACATAAAAATAAAAAAAACACTTGAAATCTGCTCTTAGACATTTCATAAGGATTTAATTTAGAAAAAAGGAGGATAAATTCAAGGAATGTCTTTGTGTATTTACCCACTTGTTAGGGAATGAGTCCAAAACAGGAATAAAAGCAACCTTAAAGAAAATGGAGCTCCTCCAGAGCAACCTTTGCACTTTGTTTGAATTATTTTAGGCACAATGAAAAGTAAACAAATGAGCAGCCATCTGCATACACCTGAGCAACATATAAAGTTCAGTTAATCCACTGTTCAAACACTAAGCCGCCCTAAGGCAATGATGGCTGGATTAAAATCCTGAATGTTGAACCGTTAAAAGTTAGTGCCTTGTATGCTTATTCTTAAATTTGCTATACATACATAAAACCAAAGGCATTTATTACACTCAACTTAAAAAAAAAAAAAAAAAAAAACATGAAATAAAATGCATTTATCATTAACTTAATTCTCAAATAGATTTTATGGTGTATTTCAGCTTTTATTCAATAGTGAATTCATAATTAGCAATTTAAGATATTACAGAATTGAACAAGAAGTTAATTTAAAGAGTAGGAACAACAGTTCTTGTTGAAAATCCAGCAAGAATAAATAAAATGTGTCCCAGGAAAGTGGACTAAATGTTGCCCAAATGTAGATTAATTACTTACTTGAGTTGTTTGTTTTTCAGTGTTAAAATGATATGAGTTTAGTGTGAACAGCATAGGGAGACTGCACCCTATAGTGATGACTCATTAAGGCCCACCCACAGCTCCACAATTAAAATATTATGTTTTAAGTATTTCTGGATGTAAAGATGTATGTATGAAAACCAGTGTTTCAAAATCTGGCAACGATAACCAGTCTGATTAAATACAGAATACTGAAAGTGAACATTTTGTTCACTAAGTGAAAACAGCCATTCAAACCAAGCTTAGTTTATATAAACATATATTTCCTGAAATAAAAAAAACAAAAAAAAAAAAACATCTGTGATTAACCATATTTGTCAGGAAGTTTCTTTGTAGGCCTCATCAATGACTATGAAAACATTTGGGCACCCCTATTAATCTTAATTATTCTTATTTCTAAATATTTGGGTGTTTGTAACAGCTATTTCAGTTTGATATATCAAAAACTGATGGACACAGTAATATTTCTGTATTGAACTGAGGTTTATTGGACTAACAGAAAATGTGCAGTATGCATTAAAACAAACTTTGACAGGTGCAAAAATATGAGCACCTCAGCAAAAACAAAATTCACTGAACAAATGACAATAAAGTCTGTTTAAGTCTAAGAAAAGAGACATATATATATATATATATATATATATATATATATATATATATATATATATATATATATATATATATATATATATATATATATATATATATATATATATATATATATATATATATATATATATGTGTGTGTATATATATATAAAAAAAAAAAAGGGATGGCCATTCCAGACTAATGTTATTGTTCCTCTGCATGAATGCCTGAGTAGATTTGGAGCAGTGTTTTCGATCATTGTCTTGCTGAAATATCCATCCCCGGCGTAGCTTCAACTTCATAACTGATTCTTGAACATTATTCTCAAGAATCTGCTGATATTAAGTGGAATCCATGCGACCCTCAACTTTAACAAGATCCCCGGTGCCAGCATTTGCAACGCAGCCCCAAAGCATGATGGAACCTCCACCAAATTTTACAGTGGGTTGCAAGGGTTTTTCTTGGAATGCTGAATTTTTATGTTGCCATGCATAACACCTTTTTTTTTAATGACCAAACAACTCAATCAGTCCACAGGACTTTAAAAACCAATGCTCCTTTTTATCCCTATAATAAAATAACTGGTATTTTAATGTTTGCATTAGAGCAAGAACTTTATAAATTAAAAACTGCATGTAAGTGGAAATACATAAGTGGTTAGCGTGCATGATCCATGTATGGAGGCCTTAGTCCTTGATGTGGGCAACCCAGGTTCGAATGTGGCCAGTGGTCCTTTCCCTCTCTCATACTCCCTTTCCTGTAGGCCTACTGTCCATTGAAAAAAAAAACAAGCCACTAATGTCATAAAAACCCCAAAAAATAAAATAAAATAAAGGATGGGTCTATTAAACTTTACCACATGTAAATAAGGGATTCAACCATTTTAGCTGCTAAAAGCTGCTTGGGTAAATGTCCCACCCCTGCCTCCTGTGTTTCACACCTATGGTGTACAGCCCGGTACACATGAGCTCACAAGGTTAACTTTTTTTCCCCCTTTCTTCGTAGTTATACCAGCCCCAGGACTTATTTTCAGTTGTGAACTGTCCTACATTGGCTGGGCAAGCATAGATATAGACAACCATTAACTGAGATTTTACTGCGACCAACTGTGTGTTCATTTTCATCTGCTTGGCAGTGTTGCTCTTCTACTCTAACCCACCTCAGGAGAGCTACAACTGTATCTGCCCTTTTATTTTTCTCTCACATAGAAAGTACCTCCAGATCTGTGCTTTAGTGTTTATATAGTGTGTATTAGCTCCATTGGTCATGGCAGAGGCCCATTCACATTGAGCCTGGTAAAGAAGAGTTTTCATTTCCTCTGCATGCATGCTCAGTAACAGGGTTTGCTGCAAATTCAATTGTGCAATGCAAACTAACTGTCACCCTGCTAAACCAGGAGGACTGAATTCTGCAAGTTAGACACTGACACCATGTCATGCATGGTTTCCTTCCATTGGAGTTTTAACCAATCTATGTTTGACTTCATTTGATTGTGTAAAGTGACTGTAGATGGCCTTTTGTATATTGACGCTATACAAATAAAATTAATGGATTTACATAAAAAAAAAATAGGGAAAAGCATCAAGGGGTAGGACATATTTCGTATTGTGAACATAAGCTGTATTTCTCTTGGTAGATCTGTACATTAAAATAGACAGGCCTACATGATGATTATGGACAAACTGAACACCAGTTTTCACTCCTCTCACTGTTACCGCCCACCCACAGTGGTGGGTTATGTAATTCTTCTACCATTACCTAACACTGCACAACTGCGGTTCCTCGATGCTCGTGGATGTAATGAATCAGCGCCTGCCTGCATACCCCCACGCCTACATCAAATCTGGGTCCCTGGTTTGGGAAAAAAAAAATCATCTAAGAACCCGGGAGGCTTGAACATCCGAGGCGCGGGCACGAATCCCGTTTCAGCAGTGCGCGTTCCCGACACTCACGGAGCGCAGCTTTCTTCCTCTCCCTCTCTCTCTCTGAACACCAGCTACGGAAACGCTCCCCAGCAGCCATAGAGCGATGCCGCACCTGATCCCGGGCTCTCCTTCCAAAAACATCAATCAGATGAGCAGCTGAGCCCTTTTAGTCTGAATGAGGGGCTGCATGGTTCTGCAGTGCGATGCTGACAGCAAGCTTCCTAACCGAGGAGCTGCGCGCTTTGCAGCATAGAAGAGGCGGCGGATAGGAGCAGCGCGCACAGGCACAGGTAGGCTGCTGGAACTAAAACACAGGGGGATCTTATCCAGATGTCCTGGAGTCGTGATGACAAGACACTGCCTATTAGAGCTATCGGCTTTCCCCCCCATAAAATCTATGAAATAATAGAGGTTTATAGTCAGCGTGCTGTGCGAGCCCTGTTGAATTAATGCGCCTTATCCGTCAGGCCCAACAGGTCATAGTACACTACCGGTTAACTTTTCCCATTGTTCATTGGCTGGGGCTTCTAGTTGCTTTATTGCATCAGAGGTTATAAACACAGGCCTGAGTTTAACTGTTTAGTGAGCTGTCTGGTCGGGTATGCTGCAATTCTTCTGCAACAGACCTGCAACAAGTGCAAGCTTTAATACACCCGAACATTTCATGTGATTAAAGTCTAGCTTGGTTACACTGCAATTTACCCTTAATTTGAGTAAGTAAATAATTTGAGTAAGTAAATTTACATTTCTTATTTTAAATATAAATTTTCTTGTTACATTGGCAAAGTGTCTCACTTGCCTCCTCAATTCAAGACTAAATGCACTTATTTTTTTAGAAAAAATGACTTATTTAGATTTTAATTTTTTTGCAGTGTATTCTGTCAGCAATGGCATAACAATTGTGCCCAATTCAGAAGCAAACTCAGACCAGTTAGCTGTTTATATGGGATCATTTGTAATTGACGTTTTATTCATGGATCTGTTTTATAGATGGCCTTTCCACATGGGCAATCATCTAGACTATAGGAGATATAAAAGTGTCACAACGACTAGGTTGACCTTACAATCTAAGATGCAGTGATCGGAATTCTCCTGACCAATGCATATGATGTCACAAAAAAACCCTGACACTGATTTTAAAGGAACAGTCTGGTCATATTCAGAATTTAAACTTCTGAAAGTTCTTTAAATATTGAATTATTACATACTGTTCGATAAATTATAAGTGTTTTTAATTAAGAGTAATTTTCATTTGAATGTGCTTTACTTGAAATATCCATGTTTGTGTCAAAGAACACTACTGCAACCTACCGGTTTGTGACGTCATGGTGAGGTATCGGCTGTTGATCAAGTCCTAGTGTTGTATCTGGTGTTTTTCACAAGCACTATTATCTAAGTCATCTTGAAAACATTCTTCTTCGAAATGTTGGCTACATATTACGTGTTTTTTCTCTGGCCAGAAGTTCGATAGCAAATCCTCCCACTTCAAGTTGACAATCCAACGACGAACTCCTGGATCATGAATCAGAAAGGTGAAATAACAATTTTTTCCCCCCGCTTTTACCCGGTGTATTGCAACATCCAACTGCCATGCACTTGGGCATTGTCAGTTTAACTATAGCTCTTGCAAATTTTAATTCCTCTCAAAATCTAAAATAATTGTTGTTGATTGCAGGTGTGCCTAGTAGCTCCCATTGATTTTGTGGGAAGAATGGCTCTAGGCTTACTGTACCGTGACGTCAATGCTGGAGATGTCAGGAGTGAGGTGTTACTATATTTGGGTGTAAATGGCCGCTCCCAGACTCAGTGATCGCAATGAAAATTATTATTTTCATTTTTTTACTAATAAATTCATTAAATCACAGCAAACATATTAGTTTTAGGTATAGATAATGGTCCATTGATTATTCCTTGCTGACCAGACTTTTCCTTTACCTGATTGTCATGACCTTTTTCTAAGCATTTTCGCTTGTATAACTCCAAAATGTGCTCTAAGCTCCTTCAAACAAGTTTGAAACAAACAAATTAAAGGACTGTAGGAATTTTCTAGTTCATGCATTACTTAAATTTAATCAACTCCAAAAATGAACATCATAATACACGCTATAGGTTGATGGCTTTATTTGGAAGTGCTGGGATGGGTAATTTAAAGGTTGCTAGTTAAATGTAGTGGTGACCAATAGCACATGATATATCCCCTAATCAAATTTAGCGCTGGCTCTGATGAAACTCCCAAGTACTTAAACAGAAGAGTACTAGAGATTTATTTTGGAATAAAGAAAGAAAAGACAAGAAGCTTGTTGACTGAGCCAATAAAGCATAATGTGATTCCTCAATTGGACACAATAATTGAGTAGAGCACTGTCATATGAGCAGATAATTTAGCAAAAGTATTTCTGAAAGCATTCCTTTTTTTCAGAGCCCTTTATACGGAATGAGACAAGGGTTCCTCATACCATTGATAAGGATATTTGTATTTTTTTGACTATATTAGTCATTTCATCCTTTAGATGTAAGAGATCTGAATACAACTATTGTCCAAAATAACCCAAAGAACTTTCCTGTCAAACCTTTTTAGAAGTAATTTCTTGCATTCCATCTATAGTAATTTTTTGTAACACATTGGAAGTAATGGTTAACAACAACTTGGTTGTTGAGTATAAGGCTGAGCAACATTGCATTCTGAAGAACATGATGAGCAGAATTTGATAAAACATTCTGGAATGGGTTTTCATGGATAAGAAGCTGCATCAAATTGTTGCATCAGGCGCAAAACATCAGATGTACTGGTTCAAAGCTTACCCCACTGTTTCTATAGAGTTGTGTAAGGTGTGAAGTTGTTCTTTGGAGAAACAAATCTGTTTTCAGTCTGTCAATCCTTTAGATACTGTTGTTAAAGGTTGTGGTTGATTTTTTTAGGGCTTTAGCTTTGCCCATTCGCTATATTTGAAAAATACTGTTTATGTTGCAGCACAAAAAAAATGTTTAAGACAAGTCCAATTTGGAAATGACCTCTGTTAATGACTCCATAACATCATACAAAGTATCAAAAATGTAAATTGCCATTATTTTCAACCAATATTGTGATAGCGTTTTTATTTAAATTTTGAGCTAGTTAATTTGGGAGAACCTGACTGGCCTGCACAGAGTCCTGAGCTCAAATGCTAGAACATCTTTAAGAAGAATTAAACGATCACCGTGAGCAAGACCATAAATGGTATCTCAGAAGTTTGGTCCCATATTTTCATAAACTAACATCTAAACCTTTTGGTGTCAACTTAATATTAAAGCCCTTTTATTGAGTATAGAATGTCATTAAAGCTCTTGGGTGTATAAAGGCAATGCTGTTGGCGTTATGGTGTAGGGTTTTGTAGTAAACATGGTGTGTTACACACACATCATGTTTACCTGCAACCAAAAGTATAATTGCTTTTTTTATTGTTGACACAGGTGTTGCATCATCTATCCTACCATCAGAGAAATGAACATTAGCTGAAAACAGAGGTGTTGTGTAGTCAAGTCCATCATAGCATTATTTGCCTCCCTTGGAAACAGACAGGTTGCCAGACGTCCACAATCTTCCTCTTTTAAATATTCTGTGATAATGGAATGAAAGGCTGGCAGGTTTTTGTGAACAAGCTGATAGAGAACAATCTGTTATCTGTTTCAAAGTTAGATTAAGGAATCATTTAAGAGAGACATGATTACTTACTCCTTATAGAAAATATTTTACTTTTTTTATTAATACTTTTTCTAAAGTTTTATGGTCAAATTATTTATAAAATAATCATTAGTTCAATTGCTCCCCATAAAACTAGTTATAAGATTGGACACCCTTTATGCACATCGAGGAAATAGAGTAGGCCTATTAAATGTAGGAAATAAAAGGATATAAACAAATAACCGACTTTTGATTAATTGTTTATTAAATGCTTTAATAGATTAAAATTGCTAAATCAGATTAACTGATAAGGTTTTGATAAGTCTCTCAAAATCCACCCAGTCGCTGGCCACCGTTTTTAAAGTGTTTACAACTAACTACTAACAAAACATGAAAATTACATTGGTAAAATTATTACCAATATAGACATGTTAGACATTGTTAGAAAGCTTAGATTTTCCACAATTCAACCACCAAGTTTATTTTATGGACACAGCGAGCACCAAAGCACAGTTAACACAGATATAGCAGCAAGTCAAAATATAAATATGACAGGGAAGCCACAGCAACATATCTCTGAAGGCGTCCAGAAGCTGTTTTATAAATCCAATCTCCAGTTATTTGTACTCCATTGGTCCATAAGGGTTAAATGGGTTTAATGATTTGTGGCCATTAAAATGTTTCAGTGTTATTCTATGGGTGAAATTTGGCACACGCTGGTGACACAGAGAGTTCACAGCTCTGAAACTGTTATACCTATAGAATTTTTTTTGGGAGTTGTGGTTGACATGATGTAGAACAAATGTAATAGAATTAAAAATGCCTATTCTCAAGCATGTCTTTATTGCTGCTGTTCAAAAAAGACCTGTTATTTTGGAGAAGACAAAAAACAACTTTGAGGTATATTTGAACTGGAGCAATTTAGGCTGTTTTTTAATCACACTGTTTTCATATATATTTTCAGAAACAAAAAGATGTCAGCTTACAGTTACTCAGTTATTTGCTCTTCAATTTTGGTATGCAAAATATGGGAGGATTGCTTAAAAATAGGTGGGTGTTTAGACAGATCTGCTTTTAGTGTTTTAGTGTTGTTGCTATTCCATTAGAGTGCTGTTGTTCACCCTTAAATGGACCAGTAGTTGCAAGAGAAAAACAATATCAATGTTTGAGACATGATAGGGTTGAAACATAAATAAGCTTAAGCAGAGTTTAATATGGTAACATTTTACAATGTTTAATACCAATAATTATGGTTGGTTGTGAGGAATTTAGTGTGTTAAAACACTTAAAGGAGCCAAGTTTAATTTTTTTCCAGACCAACCATTACCATTTGGAAGCTCGGGTAAAGGCACAATGAGTCGCTCCAACCAATGATTGTTGGATGACTCTGAAAACAGAGAGCTTTATCAATAACCATTCATTTACTCAACTTTGAAGTATCAAGTAGCCTAAAAGTATTAAAATAAAAATCTAATAGGAAATATTTTATAAATTCAACTATATATTTTAGATATACCAATTATAGCCATAGCCATTTTTTTCAAGTGGAATGGAAATCAGTGCTAAACAATTTTTTTAAACAATCTCCAGTATATCTTTTTTTTTTCACGTAGTGGATGCATCAAAATG